ACACACACACACACACACACACACACACACACACAGCGGTGCCCGGGTCTCTTGTCCTTGTCTCTCTCTCCTACCCTCTTTCCAATCTCCCTCCATCTATCACTTTCTCCCTCTCTCCCTCCCTCCCATTCTCCCAATCCCTCTCTCTCTCTCTCTCCCAGAACCCAAAACATGCACCAGCAACGTTGAAGCGACATTGAATAGACGTTGAACAAACGTTATCAACGTCTTTTCAACGTTAATAACAGACGCGAATTGGGTTGGCAAACACTTTAAGGACAACAAACCCCAGACCTCATGAGATTCGTTGGTTATCGCAATAGGAGCGGATTATACATACAGGGGGGGCATGGGCGTCGACTCTAACCTCCTCCCCTCCCCCACCGACACTTACCATACAAGCCCAAGTCACCATGCAAAGTTTAGTGAGGCAAACCAAAACCAGCTGCAACAGCAGGAGCAGCAGCAGCAGCAGCAGCAGCAGCAACAGCTGCAGTTGCTACTAAGCGTGACGTTGAGGAAGTGGAGGATTAAGTGACCCAAAACAAAAGCGGTAGTGATGAAAGACGAAATATGAAAAAAGGGGTGGAAGTATGGACAGGGGACAGAAGAGCTTATAGACAGGGAAGAGAAGAGACGGGATCAGCTTATATCGTTATATTTTAGTGTTAGAAAGGGGCATTACTGGGGTTAGGGGGGGGGGAAAGGGGCCGAAATGGGGGTGGTAGAGGGGGTGTCAAGGGACGAAAAGGGACTGAAGTGGGGGGAAAGGAGGATAAGAGAGATTAATCTCAAAAGTTATGCATCTTTCTCTCTCTCTCTCTCTCTCTCTCTCTCTCTCTCTCTCTCTCTCTCTCTCTCTCTCTCTCTCTCTCTCTCTCTCTCTCTCTCTCTCTCTCTCTCTCTCCCCATCCTTTTGTTCGCTAATCCTGCTTTTACCACCAGTGCTCTTCCTCCCCTTTTCCTTCTCTCCCCCTCTTTCCTACCTGCTCTCTCCTTCTCCTCTTCCTCCTCATACTTCCCTCCCCTCTTCATAGTCACCCTATCCCCCTCTTCCTTCTCACCCCTTCCCATCTTTCTCCTTTCTTCTTCATCTCAACGTTCTCATTACTAACCCATCTACTTTGCACTCCTTCCCATTTCCTTTTCACTTCTTTCCCTCATCATCTTTTTTTCTCTCCTCTTCTCAATTTCGTGTTGTCCACTTCACTCCTTCGACGGTCTCGCTTCGTGCAGGTCAGCGTTCAATTCCCCTTGACCGTCCACCAAGTGGTTGGGCACTGTTTCGTTTTACCTTCCCGTTCCATCCTATATTCTTATCCTGATCCCTTCCCAGTGGTATATATATTCGTGATGGCTTGGCGCTTTTTCCTGATTCTCTTCTTCGCTTCTTTATTTTTTCTCTTCCTTCGCATCCACGTCCTCCTTATCCATTCCTGTTTATAATTTATCCTTCTGTTTCTGTGTCTTCTCTGCTTCTGTCTCTTTTCTCTGCTTGTGTGTCTTCTATGCCCCTCTCTCTCTCTCTCTCTCTCTCTCTCTCTCTCTCTCTCTCTCTCTCTCTCTCTCTCTCTCTCTCTCTCTCACTCTTATCCTTCTTTGCCTCTGTCTCTCCTCTATCTCTCTTCGTTTTCTGCTTCTGTCTTTTGCCTGCTACTGTCTCTCTTCTCTTTGCTCCGTCTCTACAGAAAAAAATGTCCAACTTAACACAATCGTTCATCAACTCGTAACCTCGTTAGAGACCCGAAGGTCTCTTGTTACCCGGGTTTTTTCCCCCAGGGGCTCTTTGTCCCTCTCTTCCGTTACTCTGTTCCATTGTCCCGTCACATTTCTGTCTGCGCTTCTGTCTTGTTGCCTGTCTCTTTCTGTTGCATGTTTTTTTTTTCTCGATATCTCTGTCTCTTCTTGTGTCTCTCTGTGAACTTCTGTCGGTTTTATTCTGGTCTGTGTCCTGTGTGTCTGCGTCTCTGTCTGTGTATTTCCGTCTCTCTGCTCTTCTGTCTCTATCCCACTGTCTCTTCTATACCTCTGTCCTTCCGTTCTGCATTTCTCTGTATTTTTATGTTCTCTTCCATTATTTGTTAGTCTGTTTTATCTTTCATTCCGTTGTTCTATTAATCTGTCCCTTTGTTCCTGTTTCTCCATCGTCTGTTTTTACAATTTTGCCTGTTTCTCTTTCTCCCTGTCTTTATCAATGTGTTTGTCTCCTACTCTGTTTCTTTCTTGTTTTGTTTCGTTTTCTCCCTTTCTAAGGCCTTTTCTTCCTTTGCCTCTTCTCTCTCTGTTTTTTTCTATGATTTTACTGCCTATCTTCCTATCTCTATTTCTAAAATCCTCTCTCTCTCTCTCTCTCTCTCTCTCTCTCTCTCTCTCTCTCTCTCTCTCTCTCTCTCTCTCTCTCTCTCTCTCTCAACCCCCTGCCCCACACACATGCACCCCTCAACTTGCAGGCTCAGTGCC